ACTCCTGGTTTTCTTAAGGTTCTGAAGGGAGAACACGACACCAATATTTGGGAATATTGGTATAAAGTTGAGTTTATGTAATCCTAAATAGATGAAACACAACATAGACCCCCTAGGTTATGAAACAAGATCAAGCCATCTATAGGAGATGCCATTCAAAAAAGGTAGCTCCAGGGGCGCCTGGGTGGCTCAGTCCATTAAGCATCTGACTTAGGCTCAGGTCATGATCTCACCATTGGTGAGTTCGAGTCCCACGTCGGGCTCAGTGCTGACAGCTTAACAGCTCAGAGGCTGGAGCCTGCTTCAGATTCTGTGTTTCCCTCTCTCTCTCTCTCTCTCTGCCCCTCCCTCGCTCATGCTATGTCTCTGTCTCTCTCTCTCTCTCTCAAAAATAAACAAACATTTTTTAAAAAGGTAGCTCCAGCGCTATTTCTGAGCCCAGGTGGAAATTCAGCATGTGGCCATTAAATATCAAGTGACCAGATAGCCAGAACCAAGAGCATTGTAAGCTGAACTCTTTCAGACCCACCAAACCAATGTCAAGTAGATCTATCAGCATTCTATAGCAAAATGAATATATATATTTGGAATTCCACAGGAGCAGGTTCAGAAGGCACGAGAAAGCTGCATGAACAGGTAAGACATATCTCCATATTATTCAACATTTCACTTAGGTCAGACCCATGGTCACATGAGGGTTTCTCTGGGACAAGCTGACAAAGAAAAAAGAAGGTCAATTTCAGTTCTTGGTTGGATTGACTCAGTATGTCAGTGCAAGCAAAAGAGCAACTACTGCAATATATTGTTCTAGAGAGACTTGGACAAATAATATCACCCAGACTCTGTCGTTAGCCACTCTATTGCTGGCACAATGGGTACAAGAAAAAGCAGCAATAATGGCATGGATGAAGGTGAGAGATGGGCACAATACCATGAGGCTTGTTCAGAAAGCCAATTTAGCTTTCTTCTATCACTGAAATTCCAGCCTGTCAGCAACAGAGACCGTTGTTGAACTCCAGTACAGATTTATCCCCCAATGTGACAAACTGCTACCTTGCTGACAAACTGAGTACACTGAAGCCTTCCCATGCTGGAAGTGACAGAGATTAACATTGTTTAAGATCTGCATATATCTTCGAAATGGGTGTTCCTTTCCTGTCCTTAAGGCTTCGGCCAAAACCACTATCTGAAGATGTATAGAGAATATGATCCACCAGTATGGAATCCCTCAAAAAACTGCCTTGATCCAAAGTACTCACCCTATAGCAAACATGGTAGTGACAATATACCCATGGGATCCACTCACTGAGCTTATCATTTAGTGTCCATTCTGTTACCAGCCTAATAGAGAGATGGAAAGGCCTTTTTAAAGGTCTAACAGGATGTCATTTTATAGAGCCCAACTCTGCAAGAATATGGCATCATCTCCCAAAACGTGCTATATACTTTAAACTAACAGTAATCAAATAGTGCTATTTCCCTCTATAAATAGAATACACTGGCCTAGAAACCAAGCACTGAGTGTAGAATTAATTTGTTTTACCATTACTTTCAGGAATCAACTTAAGAAATGTATGTTTTCTTGCCCCAGAAATTTAGGCACAATACATGTAGAGATTCAGGTTCCCAGGCAGGAGGACACTCTTCCCAAAAGGGATGCAATGTCAACTTTAAGCTACAGCTGCCACCCAGTCATTTGGAGCTTATTATGTAAAGAGACAACTAGGCAAAGAAAACAGTCACATCCTGGCAGAGGTAACTGGCATTTATCATCAGTGGGAGACAGGGTTGGGGTTACACAAAACGGGGAGAGAAGAAAATGTCTGGCATCCAGGTGGTTTACTTGGCTATCTTTTAGAACTCTCCTGTCTAATCTTGATATTAAGTGGCCAGCAAGTGTAATTATGAACAGGGCTTAAATTTGGGGAGATTAATTTCCTATTTGGAGTTTTCCTCCTACAGCAAACTACAACTAGAGTCTGACCTGTTCAGACTTATCGCTCCCACCAGCTTGACTAAATTTTAGATAGGCTTCTTTCAGACTAGAGGCCCCTGACCTACTTTTTCTTAGAGTATTTACTTTAGAAAATCTGAAATTGCAAATTATTTCTCTGCCCTTTGAGATGCAAATCTCCCAGCTTCCTGTCAGTTTTACAATCCAGGAATGTCTTTCTCAAAGACCTGAGAGGCATCCCTTTGAAATGTAATCATCAAGAAAAGATAGGGCTCCAGTTATCAGTCAGTCTCTGTGGGTGGATAGGAGCCTAACTTTGAAAAGGGACAATTAGCATCTTTTCATGTGTCTGTTAGCCATCTGGATGTCTTCTTTGGAAAAGTGTCTAGTCATGTCTTCCACCCATTTCTTCACTGGATGTTTTTTGGGGGGGTGTTGATTTTGATAAGTTCTTTCTAGATTTTGGACACTAACCCTTTATCGGATATGTCATTTGCAAATATTTTCTCCCATTCTGAAGGTTGCCTTTTAGTTCTGTTAATTGTTTCCTTCACCATTAAGAAGCGTTTTACCTCCTCTGGAGACATGTCAAGTAAAAAGTTGCTGCAGCCAAGGTCAAAGAGGTTGTTGTCTGTTTTCTCATCTAGGATTTTGATGGCTTCCTCCTGTCTCACATTTAGGTCTTTCATCCATTTTGAATTCATTTTTGTGTACGGTGTAAGAAAGTGGTCCAGTTTCATTCTTTTGCATGTCTACAGCCAGTTTTTCCAACACCATTTGCTGAAGACAATTAGCAAACACAGATGGTCTAATTACAGTGACCAACCTTCCCCTGATGTGTTCTGGTACTTTTCCTTTGGCTCTCTCCAACATTTAAAATTCCTCCTCTTTTCTTTCAGTGGAGTTGAGCTGAATCTCACCAATTGCAAGTCTCTTGCAGTAGTCTTGAATAAAGTCTTCCTTTCCATTTTTAGCATGCATTTCATGCATTTTTTTTTTCTTTGACAAGTCCTGGAGAAGCATATCCCACATGGGATGAACTTAAGCTAATAAGTCAGTGGATCCGTGTGGCACAAGTGGTTGACAGTAGTGGATATTGTAGTATACCATGCAGAATCTCCCTCTTCCAATACTCACTCATTCTCCCATCTTCTGGGAATGCTGACTGCTGACTGCTCTCAGCAGTGTCTCTGAAAATACTTTCATCTGAAAATATCTGCTTCGTCATCTAATGGTTGACCAATGGGAGGTTACTTATACCCAAACTTTCTTTTCATTTGGGAGAACTCTGAAGAAATCCTACATATGCAGTTATTCTTTAGACCACATTCATTACTACTATTTTGACACTGTTGAATTTCACCCCAGTCCTGTAATCCTGGATTAGACCATTCATTTTCTTAATGGTAAGAACACTGCTTCATATTAATTTCGAATGCCCAGATAATTATTCAAATGTAAGTTTTATATACCCAATTATATTTGTTTTCTTAATTTTATACTGTTAACAGTTTTGAACCAATAGCCTTTATGATAAGAATTTTTAAATGCATTGTTACACTCAGTATTCATACATGCACTTCCAAGTTTTGTTTTATTGCATGTGCATTTTTTAATATTTTGAAAACTGTAAACTGTGAGAATGACTCAGATATTCATTCTATTAATATCCCAGAACAGTTCACTTTCCATTGCCTATTTTAAAATTACTGATTTTACTGATTCAAATGTTTTGCATATTTTTATCACCGTTCCTTCAATGTTTTCTGTACACTCAGACACATCTCATTTGTTTATCATGTAATTAATCACGTGTGTTTATTTCCCTATGTTCATTTCTCTTGTTTAGTATCAAAAAAATAGGAGCACATTTATTAACTAGTTACTATAATTTCCATCATCTGAACCAATAGCACAACTATGCTGTTCTCACAGAGTTAATTTGTTTATTTTTTAAAAATGTTTATTTATTATTTATTTTGAGAGGTGGGGGAGGAAGGGCAGAGAGAGGAAGGGAGAGAATCCCAAGCAGGCTCTGCTGTGCCAATGCAGAGCCCAACGCAAGGCTCAAACTCATGAATCATGAGATCCTGACCTGAGCCAAAACCAAGAGTTGGTCACTTAACCTACTGAGCCATCCAAGTGCCCCAATTTTTGTATGAGGTATTTTGTATGGAGGAAGAAACAAGTCTCTTGGTGCTATCAAGTTGCTTAAGTATCCATAGCCTTTCCTTTCTTTCATCAGGCTACACTGCAACTTAATAGTCTTTTGTCTCTTGCTTTTTGTCTCTTAATAGTCTATTGTTCTTGCCTTGATGTGTATTTTTCCAAAAATAAATATGATTGGATCATACAATGTTTAGGAATTTTATACATGTTAACTCTGTGTTTAATTTCACCTTCCCTATTATAGTGTCACCAACCTGAAAAGAAGGCCTTGTACTTCAATAATCCCCCAAATCTACCAATGTATAGAACACACAGTGGTTTCTTTAAATATTTAACAAATGATTGTATGGGCAGACAGTATAACCTCCATAAATATGGCAACATGATTTCAATGTGTTTTAATTTCTTAAAGGGTACAGCTATACTTGGCAAAAATCTATTTGGTGATTCTGATGCTATCTAGGAGTTACAGTTTATGAAGGCTTAAGGAACCAAGAGCTTGGTTATTACATCAGAAGAATTTCTAGAGCTCTAACACAAATATTTACAAAGCAGCTTTGCAAAAACAATATAATTTCAAATGTAGTTTCTGATAAGGCTCATTTTCCAACAAGCCTTCCTGCTTGTTGGAATAAAGGCTTGCTAGAATAGAATAGAATAAAGGCTTCCTGCTTGCTAGAATAAAGGCTTCCTTGCTTACACAAACCACCTAAAGAAAGAGATATAGTGCACACATATTAGCCTCTAATTTTCTTTTCCAGAATCTTACATGAAACTCAAACGCATCATCAGAAATGTTTGGCATCAATACCACTCAAGTGACTGATAACAAACTCCCTTAACGTCAAGAGCCATTCCATTTTTCTTTCAGGAAGAATAAGGACATACCTAAACATATTAAAATATTATTCACTTTGACAATGGAACTAGTTCCAAGACATGAACTATTGCTATATTAGAAACAAGAAGCAATCAGTATTTTTCATTGCCTAAGAATCTCTATACTACAAAAAATCCATCACTTCTAATGAAATTGGTAAGTACCTAGGAGGCAAATGTCTTTCCTTATTTCTACTGTGAAATCTGGGTTGAAATGAGCAGTTGTAGTTAACTCGCATTCCTATTAACCAGAAAAATTTAGCCAATAGTGAATAAATTTATCAAAGCTTTTGGAAAATGACATGAAATTTTCATTAAGATTAAAAGGACTATTACAGTTCTATTTTAAGTAGACCTGTACTTTTCTTAATATGAAAAACTGAGAATAACAGTAAATTTACTTTTATTTAAATTATATTGATTAATCAACAAAAATATCACTTAGATTCACTTATCTAAATGATAGTAATATATAGTTGAGCTTATGTGTGAGGTTTTTAATACAAATATCATCTTCAATTTCTGCCTATAAAGTGATTATGTAGTACAATTTATGCTTTCTTTACTGTGTAATTGGTTTATCAGTAACTGTTGTGTCAACAGCAAATCATATTTTCTGGTGCATTAACCTTAAGAATTTTTCTTTCTAGACACACAGAAAATGAAGCCACATGAACATCTGAAAGAGATTAAAACGGAATAAAAAGTCCTCAGTAGAATTTTAATGTATTTTTATATTAGCATCAAAGACCAATATTTTCTGGCTTCGGATATATGCTTGCAACACAATTATTTTAAGATACTTATTAGAAATCACACAGTGGTTTTAACTTACTAAGGTAAGTCACCTTAATGGTAACTTAGGCATAATTGGAAATTAGATAAATACTTTCAGGCTGATAATGCTCTTAAGGAGTTATTTACAAAAAGCAAAAAAAAAAAAAATCTTAAGTATTGTTTTGAATAGTAAAGTTAGTAAAGAATAAAATTCTATTAATCATCAAGAGAAATTGCACTTGAAATAAATCAAAATATAACATTTTCTAAATTTTCAGAAAAATAAATAGGCTATATATTTCACTTTGCATGACTAGATTTCAGTAGTTGTAGTTTTCCTTCCTAACATTAATTTAAATTTTCAATATATACTTGCCTGTGTGAGATCACTTGATTAATGCCAGTCTGTCTCATTAGAGAGAAAGCTACATGAGAGAAGAAAGCATGGGTGCTTTGTTCTCTATCTCCCAAGTTACACTTTGCCTGGCACATGGAATTAGTTTAATATATTTTCTGAATACATTAAAAATAAATGGACAGGGGCACCTGGGTGGCTCAGTCGGTTGAGCGTCCGACTTCGGTTCAGGTCATGATCTCGCAGTCCGTGAGTTCGAGCCCCGCATCAGGCTCTGTGCTGACAGCTCCAGCCTGCAGCCTGCTTCGAATTCTGTGTCTCCCTCTCTCTCTGCCCCTCCCCCACTCATTCTCTCTCTCTCTCTCTCTCTCTCTCTCTCTGTCAAAAATAAATAAAAACATTAAAAAAATTTTTTTTAATGTCTAAAAAAAATAAATGGACAATATTACCTAAAAAACTATCTGACTCTCATTAAATGCTTTGTATGTGACCAGACACTGGACCAATAAAACAAATACAAGATACACCAAATGACCATACGAATTTAATAAAAAACATTATGCATAATTTTGTGTTCAATATTATGCTTAATGTACACAATTTGAAGAAATACATAAATATAGAAACATGATAGATGACAGACACTAGATAGATAGATAGATAGATAGATAGATAGATAGATAGATGATAGATAAATAGATAGATCTGGACACTTCTGGCCCTAAATTTCCCAATCCCATTTTAATTTCCAAATTCAGTTCTATTTTTTTCTAATTTCAAATGTAATTTGAAATAATAATTTTGTGGCTTTCTGATCCTTTCTGTAATATTAACTACTAGTAATCTATAACAGTATTGTTTTTATCTCAATGATGTTGTTTTGCTTTATAATTGGCTATCTTATAAAACTTCAAAATACACTTTGATAACAAAGACAAAAAATAATTTTATGGCAAGTCATTTATTTCTCCACACGTGTGATAAAGTTTAAAACATGGTATTTGGAAAAAATTTACAATCTAGATGGACATCAAAACCAAAAATTTAATGAAATCATCCTATAATCATATTTGTTATGAATGGCCTTTGAACTGTAACTGTTCTTTAGTAATCAAAGAGTCATTTTGTCTTCTCATTGGATTCAACATCTACATAATTATATAACTTTTAAGTATGTGTTTTTGGAAACCTATATGGATATAATTTACATAGCCACATGTTTTTACGTGTTCATTTTGACCTAATTTATAGAGATAATAAGTATACATTTTCTACTTTTCTACTTGCATGTTTGGTAATTTCTTCAACAATTTCTGCAGTGTTTTCTAATATTCTTATATGAGATTATAATATATCTGAGGTTATACTCGAGCGATGCAACACGATAGTATGCAGTATACCAAAGCTTTTGGCTAATTAATGTAATTCTTGTATAATGAATTTTTATTTGTTCCATAAGTAATATGAGCATTGAAAACAAGTTTTTGTCATACACATATGTATTAGTCTGCTGGGGCAGCCATAACAAAGTACCACACACTGAGTGGCTTAAATAACAGAAATTTATTTTTTCACAGTTCTGGAAGCTGGAGGTCTCTGATCCAGATGCTAGAAAGTTTCTGGTAAGATTTCTCTTCCTGACTTGCAAATGACTATCTCTTGCTATGTCCTCACATAGTCTTTCCTCTGTGCATTTGTGGAAAGCCAGTGAGCTGTGATGTCTCATTCTTTTTTTTATAAGGACACCAGTCCTATCAGATTAGGGCCTCAATCTTACCATCTAATTGAATCTTAATTATCTCCATAAAGGCCCTATCACCAAATACCATCACATTGGAGGTTAGAGCTGCAATCTATGAGTTTTGGGGGAACACAGTTTTATCCAAAACTATATAGAGTTTCCTTTATCTTCCCAATTACAACACATTGGTAATTTCAAATGTGGATTTTATTGCTTTTGTTTTGTTTGTTGTGTTGTTATCCTTTAAGTATATAAGTTTCAGCCACCTAGGGGTCATCACTGACCTATATCAATATTATGTACAATGTGTTTCTTCATAAAGCAGTTTGAACAAGTATTAAAAGTTTAGGTTGTGTTTTTTTTTCCAAATTGCAAAATATAAGTTAATATCTGTTTGATGATCTCATGACTAGTAATTTTTCAATGTGAAAATATAAACACAATCTAACTTGGCATGTACCTAAACCAATTGCTATGGAAATGATATCATGAAATATGATCATGGATGTTTTTTAAATCATTACTCCATTTATTAAATTTGAATGTATAACATATTTCTAGGTCTAGTTTTATTGATAGATCAACTGCAGTTTTCCTCTGCTACAAGGCAAATGGCAATCAAAGACTGATCATAGAGCTTTAACAATATTTCTAGTGTGACATGGGATTAAAATAATCAATACAACTCATAACACTGCACTTTCATGAGGTCAAATGCTAAAGTTTTGATTCTTGGATTATCTCCTGCTGGTAATTGTGCCAGACTGCATTCTGATAATTTACCACCATAGTGAATAAATGTTAAAATGTTTCAAAATTCAGAGTTGTGTGACAGGAGTTGTTTACAGGATTTCACAGTGTCTATCTCTTGTAACTCTGTTCTGCTGACAGTATGATGCTTGTCATTCAAGTCAATATACACAGGGTTCCTGTAAGCTGGATTTATGAATAGTTTTCCTGGTGTACTTTTTTAATGGAATAAATACATAATTTTATTAGATTTTTAATTACTGTAACAACCATACAGTATGACTGCCTAGCTCATGTATAGCCCACGCAGAATGATAAAAAGTGAAATTTACTTACCTTTATTCTATATTTTGTACCACATGCGATCACTTGTCAATGGCAGTATTAAAACATAATTATGTCAAATACTATTATAAAAATCTTAAGAGTTGAAATGGATTTTAAATGTTATGTATTGAAATGTGTTATCCCATACACAACTAAACTTCATAACACCTATAATATGATATCATGGAAAGGATAATGAAATACACATGAGGAGAGATGAATTCTAACTCCTTCTCTTCAACTGATTATGAGTAAGACTTTGGGCAAAACAGTTAAATTCTCTGAATCTCAGTAACCACATTTATTATCAGTGCTGCCTAATTTTCTAGCGCTCAGTATCAGTAAACTTCACCCACATGATTTCCCTGTATTCACACAAGTCAGTGATACACTGCTGAAACAGTCAAGGCCCTAGCTTGAGCGTGGTTTATCTTCCCTTCACCACTCCATTCCTTTTCCTCCGGATCTCCTTTCCCTCTCCCCACAAGGGGCCTCCAGTCATGAATACATCAAAAATGACCATTAAGTGGAAAGTGATACAGACCATCAACTACATGGATTTTCTTTTTTTGTTTTTTTTAGAGAGAATGTTTTTTTAAAAAAAATTAAATTTTATTTTAGAGCGAGAGAGAGAGGTTGCTCAAGTAAGGGCCCGGGGCAGAGGCAGAGAGAGAGAGAGAGAGAGAGAGAGAGATTCTTAAGCAGGCTCCATGCTCAGTGCGGAGACTGATGGGGGCTCAATCCCATGACCCTGAGATCATGACCTGAGCCAAAATGAACAGTCAGTTGCTCAACTGACTGAGCCACCTAGACTCTCCAAGTACAAAGATTTTCTATATACTACATCAGCTGGAACAATTTTTCAAGAAGAGAAATGAACAACTCTTTCCCTCCAATGTTTTAACTGCTGGAAACTGAAGCACAACACTATTTCCAATAGCAACTATCTGAACAGTAACAATTTCATACCCTAATTGAGACAACAGTCACATTATTTATTAGAATACTTCAAGCAGTTGGTGGATGATGTCAGGAGGTTCACTCACACATGTTGCTGTTTCTGAAAAGATGTTTTTTTTTTTCAAAATCTGGAGATTAAGTATGGAGATGTGGTTCATATATATCTAGGGGAAGCTTGTGTTTTAAAGCCTACAAGGCCTAAATATCAGTTGGCTTTTTCACTCCTCCAGAATAATTACTATGAAAGTGAATTCTGCGGACATCAAAGATTTTTTGAGAGAAGTCATTTCTTTGTTTAAAATTATCTATAAATAAATATGTTTGCCAACACTGACCCAAATGTCTTCATGGAATATTTGGCAGTAATTCCAGATGTATCTTAGAAAACACAGTCATTTGAAAATATTTCTTAGAAGTTATTAGGTTTATATCCCATAAGAAAGATAAAGCCTGAGTATATTGTTTTCTTAAAGAAATAACTACTGCGTTCTTAAAGAATGTTTTCACTGATATTTTATATGCCAAAAATGGTCAAAATAAAGCCAAATATGCCAAAAGTTTCAAGGCTGAGAAAAATATAAATATTGGGTTAGTGTTATGAAGTATTATAAAAACTTCAGAGACAATATATCTAATATTGGACCCCAGAATGTTTATGTCATTCAATTGTGCACATATGTGTGTTAATTATGTATGTGCATGCGTATGTGTATGCACTCTTCGTGATGAACATGAAGTAGTCAGTTTTATTTTTATGACAAAACTGGTAGCTTCAAAACCAATGACTGAAATGGATATG